GAAATAACATTAAAAAAATATTTAAACTTTATACATTAGAATATATTTTAGGAACCAATTTCTTTTAGACCTTACCAATATGTTACCTATATCATGCGAGTTAAGCATAATTCTAAGCAATATTTCATTATCGTAGCTATTGATTTTACTGTGACTTCTATTCTAATATGTACACCCTAACCATATTTATGTTTATAAACTGTTAACTACATTTATATAAATTATAGTTTTTGTAACATAATATTTTATGCTTTGATATATGACAATAGCTATACATATATTTTTTATTATAAAAATATATTTACTTGTGTCTTAATCAGAAAAGTATCATAAGTATTTTATGCGATTTAAAATATACGTATGTCATTCTGAAAAGTATTCATGCATTTTATTTCAACAAGTTACGATTCTAAAATGCTTATGATTCTAAAATACATATAAAATTTAAGTTTTGTTATAAACTATATGGGCATAAAGAAAATATTTGATATCAATACATAATTTAAAAACATATAAAGAGTTTATATGTTTTTAAAAATATATTTATGATAAATTTTAATTGGTATGCGAATAACGATGTTTACTAAGTCTTAATTGCTCATATCATTATCTCTCAATTTTTTAGAGTTATACAGAAAATGCATAATGGATCAATTATTGACTAAATTATATAATTAATTTATTAAATAAATTACGAATATTTTATGGGTGAAGTAATTATTGATTGGCTTATGTGGTAAATGGTCTGAATAAGATTTTATTATGGTTTTGGCCTTTCACCTATAGGATTATAGTGTTGTACTATTCCTTACTTTTCCATTGGCCGTGGCATTACAATTCCAAGAAGGACTTTCAACATTAAGGAGTCTATTCATCTACAAGCAATTTGATATATGTTTTGGATATTAAAGTATGATTTGGCATGCCAATTAACATTCAAGTTATTGTCATATATATATATATATATATATATATATATATATATATATATATATATATATATATATATATATATGAGATTTGTATAGTCATTCATGATGAAATTTTGGGTGATCTGATTGAATGAGATTAATGATTTATTATGATTTTTTAAATTTAATCTATATTAAAAGTAGATAAAGATTGATTTATCAGGATTTGATAAGTATAATATCATTAATTTTAACTTAAATATTTTAAGCTAGTGATTTACACTTCAACATCTTTTGTTACAAGAGTTTAATGAATGTACTATTCATAACTATCGCTTGATAATAATAATAATATATCACAACACTTGCATGAACGAACATAATCACTGATAAAAGAAATATCACAAAAAAACAATGACAAAAAGGAGTTAATAATTATTTAGCTCGTCAAATTCTTATCCTTTTCTTACCATAGATAATTGTCAAAGAAAAATGAAAGCATATTAAAACCATCATGGTGGAAATTAGAAATCAGAGTCTTAAAAAAATTATTTTTAGAAAGAGGCTTGCTTGACGATGAGATAGTGGTAATCAAGGAATGGGCCTACTTATCTATTATAAGTTTTGTTTATAAAAATTATTTGACGTGTATATATATATATATATATATATATATATGTATGTATATCTGAGTCTTGTATAATTATTGCTGATGATGAAGTCATTGATTGAGATTATTGATTTACTGTGATCATCAGATAGATTTATACATAGTTGATGTGTATATTATTATTAATTTTAATTTTAATATTATAAGTCAACGATTCAGACTAAAAAAAGTTACTACAGTAGCTCCAGATGATATGTCTTAGGTCAAGTTCGGACCAAAATGCAGTAAGATATCAGAAATCCACAGCTTGATTGAGGCCTTGAATAATTTGACATGACAAACTTTAGGTTGAAAATTGCTGGTAATTTCAACCATATCTTTCATGCCAATTTGATACGAAGAGAAAGAGAAAGAGAGAGAGAGAGAGAGTACTCTCTCTCTTTCTCTCTAGAGTACTCTCTCTCTCTCTCTCTCTGTATATAGTTTGATCAATAGACAAACATTTAATTAGGTCTATTACGATTTGAAGTATGTAAGCATTGGAATGGAAGAGTGCAGCATAAAGCTACCATAAAAGGTGTTCGTCTTTAACCGTGAAGCTTCAGCTTGAGAACTAGTGTTGGTCTGCAGTAGGTCATCCACCTTGGAGGGGTATCGAATCCTCGCCATGCCGAAGTCTGTAGTAGGGCATGTACTCGTAGACCAGAAACCTTTCGTCTCTGTCGCAGCAGAAGCCACGAAGACGAACAAGATTGACATGCTGAACCGCACCCAGTGTGCTCACTTCTGCTCAGAATTGCTTCTCGCCCTGCCTGAGCACACTTCGAGCTTCTTCACGGCTACCACGGCCGAGTCTGGCAGAGTGCCTTTGTAGACAACGCCAAAGCCTCCACCTCCCAGCTTCTCAGAGAAGTTCTTGGTGGCACGCTGCAAATCGCTGTATGGAAATGGGATCAAAGAAGCATCTGCTTGCTTTGACGTTTGGGTTATTTTCCTTCTTCGACAAGCCCAAATTAGGACGAAGACGGCGACAAAAGAGATGACGACTCCTGCAGCAGCTATTCCTATGACGATTCCTGTAGTCAGCTTATGAGAACTACCGCTCGAACTGGGGAGATCGGTGGTGGCAAGGCGGATGTAAAGAGGACCACCACCCTCTTTGTCACCATCATCAAGCTGCCGAAGGATCCGAAGAGCCCCGCTCCAAATCGTGCATCCATTTTGGAAGGAGTATGCGGC